GGGAGGCAAGTTTCTGTCTATAAATTATAATAACCTTCATTAACTCTCCCTCACCTTTTACAAGATCTTCTTTCGCCATAGCCAAGAAGCATCAGAAAATAAAAATCTTGGACTCCAACGAAAACAGCTTAAAAGCAAAATTCCCCACCTACCGCGAAAGGTTTGTCCCCACTTGGCGCTGGTTCTTTATTTTGTTTGTTAGCTATTTACGGCAAAAGTAATAAAGATCTACCATTTACTACCACCTTTAATGCTCTAGTTTTCGAAACATATAAATTTGACTGGGTTTTCGTTGGTGAAATGAAATCGGTAACTTAATAAGATCTGTTTCTTATAAATCATGTGCATATGGGAAAGCTTGTGCGACTACTTCGTGGCATTTGGTTGAAAGCCGAGACCGGAGAGTGGGATTTTAAGTACGACCCTCCGGACCAAGGGTTCGGAGTGATGATACGGGAAAACGAGACTTTCGAGTCACTGATGGGAGTAGTTCGAACGAGGTACTTGCTGCTTCACACAACTCCGGTTGTTCTCACATACTAGTACCCGGAGTGGATGCTTGTTCCCGACGGAAGGAAAACACCTCCGATTAACATCTTGACGGACTCCGATGTACTTTACTACATGTCGGCCCGTGACAACTATCCTGAACTCTCGATCTACGCAACAGTTGGACCTGAGGATGTTGCAAGCTATCAATTTCAGTGTAGGGCTCCGTTTACTGTTAACGGAAGGTCGTACGTTGTGCCCGGAGCAGACCCAAGGGTGGAGGAAACAACACCGGAATATGACGGTAATTATTGTTAAGTTATAGAGAAATGATTTTGCCTAGGTTTCCACAAGCAGGAAACATTTTTATTAACCGGAAACCCTTGTCTTTGTACTTGCAGCACTGATAACATGACCAACGATTGTTGGAGCACGGGGTCCTTTAGAAGAGATCTTCAATGAGCAAGAAATGCTAATCATCCATAGGGTGCACATGGAAATGACCATATCCGACCCAAATACAAATTTGGTCGAAGACTTGACCTCAAATATGATTTGTGATGAACCACTCTCCAGAAACGATTTCATTGTCGTGAATGATGGCGAAGATACTGAAATGGAGACAGTTGCGGCCACAAATGATGGCGGAGGAAACAACACCAACTCTTCTCAGCCTGAATAGTTCCAATGTAAGCTATATTGTAACCCTAATCTCTGGCAGCTAACATAAATACTAGCTTTTGTTTAGTGACTGTTTGGATTTTCTTTTCAGCAACTCAAGAAAACTGTCCACTGAGTCAAGCCTGCCACGAGTTCGGGGATGTTGGGATTGGCCTTCTCGGTTGTACTCATTGTCTCATTCCTCCAACAACTTATGGTGGAATAGACGATATTGTGGCTTTCTGGGAAGGAGTGCTGCCAGAAGGTTATAATAACACATTAGGGGATAACATTAACGATGTGCTTACACAAAGTGAACCAAACCAGGCCTACCCAGAACGAAACCACCCAGCTCTGGCGTAATCCTTAGTGAAGATGAATCCTCAACAACCGACTCATTGGACGATTTATGTGTCCTCCTCGATGTTGAGAAGAAACATGATCTAGCTTTGGCTGAAACATAAGGTAATGATGAAGTCCTTAGGCATATACATTCATATAAAATTTCAAATAAAATCTATTGTTAATAATGGGCAGGTGCCGCTCTTCCTAAGGAACCTGTTAGTGGAGGACCGATCAACTCACCACCTCCGGAACCTCACGGTGGGCCTTACCTTAGTTTAACCTTAACATGTGCTGAGTCAAACAACATTTCTGGTGGCGAGAGTGAGGATCATGGTGGGTTATTGCCCTGAACACTTTTAAATCTAAGTTTATTTCTCTTATTTCTATAATGTGTAATCGGATATGTAGCCTTGTTTTGGATAATTTTAAGCGCTACTCTAAAAAACTTTCGGCTATTGGCTTTATGTGTCGGCCAATTAATTTTGTAACTGCTAAACCGTTGTTTGCTTGTTATAACGGCTACGAAACGCGTTAGCGTTTTCGTTTGTAAAATATGGTTAAGTTAACAAATGTTCCTCACATTTTGTTGCTTGAAAACTACTCATTTGTTGAAAGAAACCACAAATTAAACCGCTCTAATATCTAAATTCATCAAATGTAGGAAATGAGGTGGGGCAGGATAATGTGATTTACGTAGGAATGAACTTCCCAAATCGGGCAGCGTTTAAACTTCATATGGCTTTTTACACAATAGAGAACAAAATTTGAATTCTTTATCCCAAAATTAGCTCCAGCAATTATGCTACTCGAATGCTGTG